ATATTTTGTAACGTTATTGAATTATTTAATGTGGTAAGATGCCTTTTTCCAAGAGGGTTGGCTAGTCTATAATTTTTTATTTTTTATTTTTTTGGGGGATGCCCAAATCGCCCCGAATCACAAGTTACAGTGTTCAATTGACAAGTTACAGCAAGTGGTCCTAAGTCGAAACACAAAAAAGTACAATTCATAAGTGTTGTCCCAAAGCTCCATCAATGCTTTTGCTCCTTGTTATTGCTCTTTTGCTACTGTCAATCAAAATTCACGCCATTAGGGTATTGGCTACTTACCCAGTTACGTACCCTCCACATTTCTGAGGCTGCATTTGAAAGCTTTCAAGACATTTGTAAGATCTTTTTCAGTACATATAAAGGAACATTGTCCCATTCAAAGCTATTGTAGTTTGACAAACACATCCTTAGAAGTCTCAAAATTACTTTAGTTTATACCTATCTTGCCTCTAATTACCGATAATTAGACAAATCTCTAGTTGGTGAGAAGTTCAACTGAGGCTATTAAGTTTGTGAGATTCATCACCAGCTGGCACTTGGTGCTTTTTTAGCACCAAGCTCCTCTTTATTGATGTAATATTACACTATGTATGTTTCATCTTTCAGTACATATAAAGGAACATTGTCCCATTCAAAGCTATTGTAGTTTGACAAACACATCCTTAGAAGTCTCAAAATTACTTTAGTTTATACCTATCTTGCCTCTAATTACCGATAATTAGACAAATCTCTAGTTTGTGAGAAGTTCAACTGAGGCTATTAAGTTTGTGAGATTCATCTCATTTTAGTGATTTAAATCGTTCAATTTTTAAACCTTTGTGTCCAAATTAGTTATGGAAAAAAATCAACTTGATCCGATAATCTTAGTTACATAATTTTTTTTCAAATTTATCTTTGAAAAAATGGACAATAACTATGATTTTATAATAAATTGTCCATTTTATTTGTAGAAAAAATTGATGAACTTATAGAACTACTATTATCAGATTGAGTTGGTTTTTTTAATACATGATTTGCACACAAGTATCTAAAAAATGAACGGTTGATATCACTGAAATGAAACTTGGAGTAAGCCACAAGCCCAACAGTATTTGACCAAATTACTATTAACTAGAGAGAAGGCAGATCCACTAAACAATGGAAAGAAAAGATCAACTGATTAATCTAACAGATGAAATTCTCTTTTACCAAATATAATATTTAGATACAAGTTGCATGCTGTAATTTTTCCTTGTCATATTCCTCTTTTATAAGGTTTTATTTATTTATTTATGGTTTAAAGTATTGTCATATGTGTACAGTAGCTACAAGGTATTTAAAACAATAGGAAAATAACATAGGTTACATGTAGTGTTGGACACACCACTCTTAAGTCATAATTTTATGTAAAATCTATAAAGAGGAGAGTTTCTCAATTTGGTTTGAAGACAAAACCTACACCAAACTGATAAGAACTCAAATTGCTCAGATAAATTGAGGTGTGACTTTGTGGAACTTTTTTGAACTTTTAAGGATCTGTTAAATCACCTTACTTCCTCTATCTCTCTCCACAAATTCCTATAGGGTTACCTCAAATGGTATGGGAATATTTCAAGCTGGAATTTGGCCTTGCATGACTACAATTTTGTTCTATCACTTAATCATGACTACAATTTTATTTTATTTTCTAAACTTCTAATATGTGTTTAGATCTTAAATTTGTAGGAAAAAACAAAGAAAGAAAATAAAGTAGAAGCTCTTTTTTTTTTTTTAATTGGGCTAGAAAAATAAGAAGAAAGTGGGTTCATATTTAACAAAAAATTATTTTTTTGATTAGTAATCTTAAGAAAAATATGTATATAAGTAGTTCTATTCATCTCCTCTTTTCCTTCAATGAATTTGGGATCCAAACATAGACTAAGTGGCTATAATGCTGTTATCGTTGTTTTTTTTTTTTTTTTTTAAAAAAAAAAACTTTTATTCTTCTGTTGTGAGAAAAAAAAAATGATCAAACTATGGAGTTTTTAATGTAAATTTTTTCATCAAGAGTGCTTAAGCATCATGTAATGGAGATGATAATAATCCCAGTCTCTAATAATACAAACCAATATAATCACTCGGTGATACATATTTGATTGGGCAAAAAAAATGCAACATTTGTCAATTGGCAAACTTGTCAAGTTCAATTTTATCATGTTATTTGTCCAAAAATAAAAAATAAAAAATGAGAACAAATTCCAGAAATAATAGTTTAACAATTTACTCACAACAGAAGAAATATGTGGAGGGTGCTTGGTTCCTCTGCCATTCAATTCAATGATGTCCATTAAATTATCATCTAAAGACTGAGACACACCTAAGCTATATCTTTTTTCATTATCTGCTACAAAGAACAGATAGATATGCATCATCATCAGTACGTTAACTTCTGAATTTTTGCAAGATATCTTCTACTTCTGCATCTTCTTCCTAATCTTCCATAGAAAAAGAATTTAAAAAATCCAAATTCTTCACCTTTAACCTATCCACCCCACTTACAGCATGTTTGTTACCCAGTGGCGGAGTCAAGAATTCATGAAGAGAGAGGTACGTATTAATGACAACATTGATTTTTTTTATTCCCTCATAATAAACAGTAATGAGATATTACTAAATTTAAATATTAAGAGTCTATTTGGATAAATGTAAATTTTAAATTAAAGGATTTGAGGTTAAATTTTATTCAAATGTTGGGGAGTAACAATTTTAGTGGATTGAAAAATTAAAAAAAAAAGAAAGAAGAAGAAGATAAGTTGAGATACAAATGATATATTTTGGTAGAGAAATTCAATAAAACACACCACAAAAAAGTATCTATCATATGCTGCTATTACGATCTGGTCTTTAATTATGACACATTATAGTATTGGATATAACTTAATTATAATTACTTGTGGTTGTTATTTTGGTTATGACTGAAGAGGTCTTTAATTATACATCAAGTAATGGTTAGTTATAACTCACTCTGATATCAGTTATGTCCTATTGTGATTTTTTTTTTGGGGGGGGGTTATGATTGAAGATATGTTGTTTGGTTATAATTTATATAGTGGTTATTTTAGTTATGAATGGAAATCATTTGGTTATAAAAATTTATAATTTCAATACCATAAAGTCATAACTTGTATATCCCTTTTAGAGGTGTCTAATAGAAGGACCCATTTCAGTAGGTTTCTTGTAATTAGAAAAAAAAAATTATAATAGAGGAACTATTACAATTTTAAGAAGGGATATTATTGTAATTTTATAAAAGATATATATATATATATATATAGGTTAATATAATTATCAAAACATCACGATAGACACGTGCCCTCCCTGGTCTTACACTAGCTCTGCCCCTAGATTATTTATAACTCAAATTTAGTATTTCTATTATATACTAAACAATTCAAAAGAGCAAAATAGTTTTTTTTGAGCCTTATCCTTCTTCATAACATTCCAAACAAACATAAAATTTAATAGAATAATCTTTTTTATCTAATCTCATAATTAAACAAACATAAAATACACATTACTTTAACTATTCAATATATTACAATCCTCTTGTTCTGTTACCTCTTTCTCTTAGTTACGGAGAGACAGACATAAAAGCTAGGTGAGGGTACAAAAGAAGAGGAAATAAAGATGTCAGTCTAACTACCATGTTCATATGTTCCTTCAAGACTCAGGCCTGAGAGGACACATCTTTTCCTGAGGGTTGGTTTTGCCATATTCATGGCCATGAAAAAGCTTTTGGTACTGTCCTTTTTTTAATAATGCAAAAATGTGTTCAAAACTTCCTCTTCTTTCGCTGTCCTCCTAATAATCCTACACCTTTTACCAAAGTAACCACTCAAGTCACTATATGCATGAGGTCAGGGCTACCATTATGACGGTTAAGGATTTTTTGTTTTTAAATTATTTTATTTATTTTTTTTAAAATATTAATAATCATGTAATCAGAAATTGAGATTATAATCTAACGTCTATGAATGCATTAAAACAAGAATTTGAGACATAGAATCTTATTCTTATTGGTTGTCCTCTCCATGACTTTAATTTATGTGCCAAACTCAATTCACAACTGTACGATTTTAGCTGAGATTGATGATCAAAACAAGGACTCCCAGATTGTGTGATTCGTATGATTGATATCGACTAGATAGAGTAAATTTGCTGTGATTATTTATTTATTTATTATTTTTTTTAATCGGCAAAAAAAAATCTTTATTAATGAAAATATGCAAAATATGATACAGTACATCAATAAAGAGGAGTTTGGAACTAACTTAAGTGTTCCAAAATATATAAAGTGTACCAAAACGCGTAAATATATAAAAATATATAAAATTTTGATTTTTTTTTCATTATTTAATTTTAACGATAATTCAGTGAGCGGTCGGTAGTAACACCCTCATAATGTTGGTTGATTTTGATTAGTGGCCTTAAATTTGCCACCTTTGTTCTATCAACCTCATGATTTATGACAAAAGGTTCACCCTCAAATCTTTAATACACATCATTTAAGGCATGATGCATAAATCTCTCTCTTTCTTGAGCAAAATGTAATGTAATGTAATGTTGATTAGAATTGGGCAAACACCTAGACCTACCATGGAGATCTGAGTTCTTTGAGCTTTCAATTGCAGACCATCAATTCATTACCCACACACAAAATATAGGCTTTTCTATATACCCACATGCACGTGAGAGTTTCATCACATCCATCCATAGATATACCCATTTTGATAGTAATGCCAATTTCCAAATATTCCTCTCACGTGTTCCAGAATTTTGGAGGATGGGAGATAGATTGGTCTATTGCTCCTCTATGATTGCCCACTATTGGATTGGACTCCAAAGAAATTAATTATTACTTTTAATAAATAAATTTTTAAAAAAAAATTGTATATACACCATGTTGGTGCATGCTCATTCAAGCTTGTAATAAAATCATTTCATTTACATATTAAATCATACTAACAAGTAGGTAAAAAAATCATAATAACAAATTGTACTTAAATTATTTTTTTTACAAGGAGATAAGAGAAAGAGAAGCTCCATGGCATCGCGCAACAGTAAGACTCAAATCCTAATTCATCCTCATATTAAATTGTGCTTAATTAGAGTCATCTCACTTTTCATAACAAATGATAGCCCGGAATCCATTAGAGAATTTAAATTTTGTTTCATAAATATGATTATATCGAAGCATAATCAAATTTCTTACAGATGAAGATCCAAACTCACATGATCTTGTACCGTGGACTTCGCTTCATACCCATACCGGCTTTGAGAACTAGAGCTACCCATCATCGGCGATGGCTTCAAATCATCGCTGGCGAACAATGGCAACGGATGATGCATTGAACGGTCACGATTAAGCGTAGGCGAATTTTGGACAGCGGGGATACGCCATAAGGCGAGAGGGCTGCCATTTATGGGTGGTTGGTGGTGGTGGTGAGAGTACGCGCCACCACCACCGCCACCACCATGATGACTTCCATAAAACCTAGGGGTAGTATTGGCATATGGGTTGTGGTGGTGGTAAGTCATGGTGGCGGGGTTTGGAGGAGCGGTGGCGGAGCCGAGGCGGTGATGAGGGTAGTTCATGAGGCCGTAGACGTCGGAGAAGCCGCCGTGGACCATGGCAGACTGGAGGTGGGCGCGTTTGGCGTGTTGACGCTCTCTCTTGTGTGCATTTTGATGGCCTCCTAGGGCTTGAGAGGTGGGGAAGTTTCTGCAACAGTAATGGCATTCGAATTTTCGACTACTCTCTCCATTGTCGTTGTTATTGTTGTTGTTGTTGTTGTCGTCTTTTAGCACTAGTTCTTCACAGGGATTGTTGGTGTCGGCGGAGTCAGACTCGTCGGTGGTGAGGGCGGTGGTGTCACCTCCGCCGCCGAATTCTATGCCGAATAGTCGAATGCCTTTTTCTTTAACCGGTGCAGGGCGGATGAAAGGGAGTTGAGAGAAGGTATCAACATTCATGAAGTCATGAGTCTCTCTCTCAGCCTTCTCCATGAGGAGGAGGAGGAGGAGGAGTGGTGGTTGGAGGTGTCGGTTGGGGGAGAGGGGAGGAGGAGAAGAGGGTTTGGAAGACTGCACCACCACCTTGGAGAGGAGGAGGAGGATGGAAGGTGGGAGGAGAGGAGAGGAGAGGAGAGGAGAATGTGAAAAGGGGAGGAGGGTTTGGATGTGAAGTGGTGAGAAGATGAGAGGGGGGTTGTGGTGGGACCTATAAAGGGGATGGTCTGATACAATGGACAATTGGGGACTGACCCATCTTAGAGTGATGCCTGACAAGCCCTCCAAAATTACTGTTTTTGTATTTGTATTGGAAAAATTACAACACAGTGGAACCCTGTATAAAATAATTATATATTTATGAACAAATTTAAGATTTTAATTATTAATATACATAAATTTTATCATCAATTTGAAATTGTTTTTAAAAATTTATACCGAATATTAATTGTATTTTTGTGTTAGTGTTTATGTTTATTTAGATTTTCAATTAATTCTTTATTTAAGATAATAAAGGTAAATAATATAACATATGTTTAAATGATATAATTATCAGCTGTTCATTATTTTCTACATATATCCTATTGAGTAGGGTCCACACCATGATGGTGTATGGATCCTATTCCCATTGCGATTACATGATAAAAATAGTGTGTGTCTTATTTTTATAATGAAAATGCAGCAGCTTATATTGTGATAACATACGAAAAAATTGATTATATAGAATATTTCTCTTTAGTATTGTAAATGAATTGAACTGAATCGATATTGAAATGTCAAAGTCATCTTGCTAAAAATTGGTCAATCTCGTGCCAAACTTAAGTCAAGTTAAACGAATCAAGTTCAAGTTTGATTTGAATAATTTGATGTTTAAAAAATGCGAGCTCAATTCTAATCAACTCAATTAGACATACAAGTCAGACTTGAACTTGGCAAGAAAAATTGAAACAAAATTTGACTTGCATATCAGTAGAAAAAAGCTTTCAGATTAAAAATTCGATTTGAGGGTCTGGTTGAGGGATTGTGGGTCCATGTCAAGCCTACCTCGATAATTCATCTTATCTATTTGTAGAGTTCATACAAGTCAAATTAAAATTATTCATTAACAACTCCATTCATTTGTGATAACCTGTGTGTCATGTGAGAGTAGCATTTCCCATCTCCCTAACCTGGGAGGGTGCTGTGCCTCTAACACGGTGTTGTGAGTAGGAGTGTGCATAATACCGCTAAAATCGCCGAAATCGTTAAAATTGTACCGAATCGCACCGTCAAGGTAAATTCGTTATTATTTACCAATCAAATTGTCAGTTTTTGGTAAGAAAAATGGCAAATTCTAAAGACACTTTTATCAATCCGCTAGTTTCTATTTTTCTTCCAAATCACACCAACCCGCACCACTATTAAATCATGTTTTATAAGATTCAAAAAATTCTTTTTTACTTAAGTTTGTTTGTTATTCTATACCTTAGAATATAGTATTACATTACTGCTCGAGGGGAATTTTATATATTGTATTTGATCATTGTAGTTTCCACAGATGCTTGTAATGAACTGATGGCATAGTCGTTGATATTATCATGTTTTTGCTACACTTGCTGCATCAGAAGAAAGCTTCGCAAGATGCTTAACACCACGGTATCTCTCGGCTTTTTTTTACTCTTTAATTTAAGTTTTGTAATTTGAATTATATTTTTATAAACCGCCAATCCGCCCGAACCGCCAAGGCAAATCCGTCATTATTTGCCAACCGAACCGCCGGTTTTTGATAAGGAAAATGGCAAATTCTAGTGACACTTTTATCAATCCGCCACCCACCATACGGTTTCTATTTTTCTCTCAAACCGCACCGACCCGCACCGCGCACACCCCTAGTTGTGAGCTCATGGGAGTGTTTTTTCGAATTTATTCTCATAATTTAAATTGTTTATATTGTAAAGTTCATTAAATAAATTATTTATAAAAAAATAAAGTTAATTAAACATCTGTAACCCGTAACAAGAGCACATTTATGTTTGAAAAAAAATAAACGGTTATTATAATTTTAATAATTTTTATAAAAACAATAATTGTCCGATCATAAGATTACGCATGTCCGATTAACCTCAACTTTTATATAAATGATATACTTGACAAATTCTATAATATAAACTATTCAAATTATTAAAATATAATTGATAAAAACCTCAATAGGCCGTCACAATATTTTTTTCGAGAAAATTAGTCTAAAGTCTCTCTCTCATTTTTAGTAATGGAAGAGATCCACAATATTATTTTGTGATGTCTAAGGTCCCTCAACCTTACACGCATATATCACAGAGAAATTTGACTATACAAAATCAAAACTCATCTCTCTCTCTCTCTCTCTCAACTTCTCTATTCTCAGACCTATTTGATTCTACCAAGAAATCCAATCAAAAATTGAATCAAAGTCCTCCACATGAATGGCTCGTCAATTCACATCCATCCTCAAACAACTCCGCACTCGATCACCATCACAATCCGTAACGTACATGCCTCGACCCAGAGATGGCGCTCTGAGAGCCATCACTCTGATTTCTGATGACAAAATCGGACCTCTGGTCACCAATGCCGTCGAACAGGTCATAGAGGCAATGCATGCGCCGGTGTACTTCGATCGCTACCAAGTTCGAAGCGACATGAAGAACGCGTCTCCGGAGGTGATCGAATCGATCCGCAAGAACAAGGTGTGCTTGAAGGAAGGTTTAGGGTTTCTGAATTTAACAGATCGGTCACTAGCTCTTAGTCCTTCTTCTCCCACCTTGATTACTTGATCGGATCTAAATCCATGCCGGCCAAAAAGGCTCCTTCTCCGCCGTTGGCGATGCCTTTGGTGTACCAGTTGCCGTCACCGGGGCTGGTGGTCCAGCCAGTGGAGTTTCCTCAAAAACAGTTGTCTCTGGTGGTAGATGATTCGTATTTTAAGAGGAATTGGAGAAGTAGAGGCAGATGATTGAATTGGAGAAGTAGATAATGCAATTCGCTAAAGATTTGGAGGTTAAGAGGATGCAGCTGTTCAAAGATACTCAGGTTCAGCTTAAGAAGATCAAGCAAGCTAAGCAGTCGGGTTCGAATGGTGACAGAAAATAGAATTTCTGAGTTGTGAATTTCTCTGGGTTGAGTGATTTGGATAGGGGGAATTTCTCTGATTTGAGTGAATTTCTCTAAGTTGGAGAGGGGAATTTCTTTGGTTTTGAGAAAATTTCTTTGGGTTGAAGTGAGTCTAGAGAAATTCTTCCCTGGTCCAGAGAAATTTTCTAGATTTCTCTAGTTTAAACTTAGAGAAATTTCAAAAAAATCGAATTTTGTTTATTGGTTGTACTCAGTGCAATAATTTTGTATATGATTTGTCTGGTGTGTACACTTCTCTTTGCATCAGTGTTGGTGGTGATGGTGTTGTTGTTTTGCCTCCTTTTTTTTTTTTTTTTGTTTTTTTTTTTTTTCTTTTTTTTTTGAGTTAAAAACCATAGCTGTTAGTTCTTTACATAATCTAGAAATTTCTCTAGAGAGAAACAAAGAATTTCTTTGGGTTTGAGAGAATTTCTCTGGAAAGTACAGAGAAATTCTCTAGATGAAATTTCTCTGGATCAAATTGAGGGACCTTAGATATTATAAAAATATTAAATATCCTTTATGTTATAAAATCTTAATATCAGGCATCCTAAAAATAAAACCCCATTTTTGTCACACCCACCCTGTCCCTCTATCTCCACCTTAACTTGGAAAGAAGTGAAATATCCATCTAAATGTAAGTACTGTTAATATTTGTAACCATCTTTGAATGTGGATATTATTAGGTGAATTGTGGTGGTTGAGTATTATATATATACACATCTTCTATCTATGCATTCAATCAAGTTAGTACGCACTGTGTTTCCATATAAATTGAAAAATCTCTAGTAGTGATGAGTCCCACCACTCAATGTTTTGAATGACGTAACATTGCTAGAAGAGAAATATGAAAGAAATTAAATTATCACATTTATATAATGGTTATAACTTACTACAAATATCACACACAAAAAGTAATTTAAATAATATTATGATTAGATAAAAATATTAATATTCTCAAATATGAGAGACATTTTAATAGGTGTCATATGACAGCAGATTGTTTCCAGTTCACTATTGTGGATTGGATGGTATAGTTGGTGCTTGTGAACTTATTATGTTTTATAATTCAATTTGTCATCTTTAAAATAAAATAAAAATTGATTTGATAATCATAATCACTTAATTTTATTATATTTATCTATAAAAAAATTCAATTATTCATTTTCAAAATTTTATTTAGTATCTATTTTTGTAAAAATAAATATGATAATCATGTGGTTATAATCATTGGGTCATTCTAATTTTTATTTTTTTACTACAAAAACCTAAAAAATAAATAGATTTGATTATTGACATAACACTCATGATAAACTAACGTGCCTAAATTGTACGATTCAATCTATAACACTAATAGATTAGAGATAATCCCAACCCTTTTTAAGAGAAATTGCAGATTATTAGAAGTTAAAATAATAATTATTTTATTATGATTTTGTCCGATGATCAGGTGCAATAAGTCGACTGGGGGCCATGTTTGATATCGCACGTTTTCGTTTTCGGTTTTTCTTTCTTTTTTTTTTTTAGTACTTTTAGAAATTTTAAATAATAAAAAATTTAACAACACCCAATTCTGTTATATTTTTTTCATTTCGAAAACTACTCTTTTTTATGACAATATTGTAAGACTTAAATCATAGTTCTGCAAAAGATATAGTACACTTTTCAATCTCCAACCTTCACTCAATTTTTTCTTTAATCTCTTATATTTTAATAACAATAATTAACTTCTTAGATTTAACTCGTATTTTAATGTAATCCCCTAACATTTCATTGTTTGAAATTTAGTGAAAATTGAAATATAAGCCATCAAAATGAAATTTGAATAAAGACTTAAACATGGAAAGCGTAATTTATTATATAATTTTTTTTCCTTCTAATACCGCTGAAATGTTCTCGCGTGGCATTCATGTGGACTTTTTGACTAAATTTTTAATGGCAAGTAATAGGAGATCAAACCAACTAGGCCTAGCATAGTTGGTTATCATAATTTTTCTAAAAGTTTAGTCTCAAGGGAAATGACATGAGTTTAACTCTTCCTAATGGGGAGGGGACACTACAAGAAAAAGCACAAATGGCGACTAAAATTCATAATTTCGTCGCTGAAAGTTGATCAAATGGCGACTAAACTGGATGTAGTCGTCAAAAATGAAGCATTTTGCCGACTAAAATGAATTAGTCGCCAAATACTAGGGTTTTAGCGACTAAACTGTTTGTTGGTCGCCGAATGTAGCAGTTTTACTGACTAAAGGTTGTTTGGTAGCCAAAAGCGACAGTTTTTGGGGACTAAAATAATTTAGTAGCCAAAAGTGATGGTTTTGGAGACTAAAAACCATTTTAGTCGCCGATTATAGGTCTTTTGCCGACTAAAAAAAATTAGTCGCTGAAAATGAAGGTTTTTGGCTAAAAAAAAAATTAGTAGCTAAAAACAGTGAATTGGCGACTAAATTTCAATTTAGTAGCCAAAACGGGACGTTTTTGGCGACTAAAAACAGATTTAGTCGCCAAAAGTGCTATTTTTAATTTAAACATATTTTTTTAGCGACAACAAATTAATTAGTAGCCCAAAAATCATAGAATTGGCGACTAAATAATTGATTTAGTCGCCAAAAGTGGCCTACATTTTTTTTTAATAAATAATTTATTTTTTACATAAATTATATTCAATAAAATTAATTATATTTACATATATGGTTTTGTATGAATACCGGTCGAAATAGTATATAAATAATATATATTGCATATATAGTCATGTGATGTTCAAGTGGCATAGTGGAGGGAGTAGGTTGGTAAAGGTGTTGGCAGTTGGAATGGTTTACGGTTCAAATCTCAGAAAAATCAAAAAATTTGTTTTTTTTTTTTTACGGAAGAACCTTTGGCGACTAAACTTTTAGTCGCCAAAACTGTTATTTTGGGCGACAAAATAGTTTAGTCGGCGATTCATGGACTATTGGCGACAAAAATATTAGTCGCTAAATGTGTGCTTTTAAAAAGTGTAATGCACTCTTTTTTGCCGACTAAAAAAAGTTTAGTCGCCGATACCTCTCGCCACCACGTATGCGTGACAAAAGGGGCGACTAAAAAAATTAGTCGCTGAAAGTAAAAACTCGACTTTCGGCGACTAAAAGCGGACTTTTGGCGACTAAAAATTTAGTCGCCAAAAATGATTTTTCTTGTAGTGGGAGTTGAATGAAGAGGTAAGCATTTGATACTTTGTAAGGGTGAGAAGATCACATATTTGAGAACTCTATTATTACAATTAAAATATGAGAGGTCAAAGTAAAATATTTAGATGGAAATTTAAGGGAGACTCTATTTACGCACCACCTTTTATCTCAAAGCACACTATTAATTAATTTATTTTTTATTACAATTTCAACCTTAGGTAAAATGACTACAAAAGACAAGCTATGATACACACCATTGGTATAATTACCATAAAGGACAATAATGAATATAATACACATCAACAATCTCAAACTTGTTACTTGTGTATCTTGTCTGTCAAGAATCCAAAAATCGTAAAATAAAAATCAAAAACCCTTAAAGAAATAACCAAAAATATACGTATTATCGAAGATTTTGATTAGATTCAATGAATGATGCATCTAGCAAACTGATTCGGACCAATGAAGCAAGGAAAAGGTTATTTTTATTTTTATTTATTTTTTTTCGTTTTCGTTTACTTGTTGAGTGGTAAACTATTTGTATTAGTTTGGTTATCCAAAGTCGAATAATATATCAATGTTTGTGGGTATATTGTGGTAGGTGGAGTGTGTGAGTAAGGGTAAATATGGAAGATTGTGGTATGTATTGAGCAAAATATTCATTTGTCAAATTATTAAAGGTGTGCCTTGAGTAGTGGCTTGCCTTGAGATAAAATGTGGTATGTAAATAGAGGCATCCGAAATTTAAAGGTAAAAAGAGTAATTTACCCTTCTACAAATTATAACAAGTTATATATATTTATATATATAATATCTATTCAATCATATAAAACACAAAACTTATTAAAACAATTTTTTAAAAATTTGCCACACAATTTCAATTTCCAAAAATACCTACAAAATTGTTAATTGAATTAATAAATATGCCATAATAACTATTAATTAGTTTTCAAAATTTACTTATATTTTTCATTCATCAAACTGTCTAAATATTTAGATATTAAATTATACACATAATGTGTGCACCACTATTAATATATATATATATATTAAAGGGTATTATATTATATCAATCAGTCAATTAGAGAGGTAGTAGTGGTAGAAAGGAGTGAGAGGTAAGTAGAAAGGAGTGAGAGAGAGAAAATGGGGGATAATTTTGGTGGTGGTGTGGTGGGTCACATTTCTCTCTCTCTCTCTCTCTCTCTCTGAGTCTCTCATATGATAGCGAGGGACCAGATACAAGCAGTAGTTGGTGTTGGTTCTTTATAGCTGTGTTGGCTGTTTTATATCTGTTTCTGGCATTCGTGCAATGTGGTCCTCCCATTCCTCCTCTCTTCCAAAAAAATAAAATAAAGTGTTACACTAGTTTTACATTGAACCATCACTGTGGTCTGTATCCAAACCAAAATAATACACTCTCAGGGTAACAAAGTACAACACCCCTCCCTCTCTCTCTCTCTCTCTCTCTAATTGCATGATGCTGACCTCTTTCCATC